TTGCTTTCTTAAATGAAATTTCTGGAGCCAGACCTTACCTGAGAGCTATTAGTGTAGTAAAAAGTGAGCATATGTTGGTGAGTCGTTCTTCCCCACTGGCTCTGAGCGAGGAGATTGCTTGGCAGCTGGAGGAGCTTGTCGGGGAATGCCCTTCAGGATATTCAGTGCTTTGCAAAGTATGCAGGCTGTTAATTGGCTGGCCTGTAATAAATCTAAACGTTAAACATGCAGAAATTGTAACACAAGCATGCATTCCTTTTTCCTTCTAGCCATCCTGCAAAAGAAATGGTTATTGATGACTCAGTGAAGTTGGCTGTTAATGAAGCTGATCATACAGTTGGACTTACTCAGAATCTTAATGGAAAATCTGGTCCGTGGACTTTCGAGGAGTTCATTGACGTTGGAGTGCATTCCAAGTCAACCAGACTGAGCTCGGACAGCATCTCTGCTGGTAACTGTAATCAAAACTTGAATGATGCTGCTACAATGCCTTCTAGTCCCAAATTGGCTTTTGAGGAAGACGGTGCAGTGAATTCATTGACCAAACCTATAGATGCTTCATCAGGTAATCCAAGCTGATTTCCCTGTCTGTCTCTTCCTCTGGCTAGGTAATGAACTTCCTTGCATTTTACTCTCCTTGCCTTAACTTCAGCTTCTTATTGTCAAGGCGCTTTTTCCAATGTGTAGACTGGAGGGAAAGCTCCTTCTTTAGTGCTTGTAACTTGTGTTCTGTCAAAAGGAGTCACCAACTGATGCCTTTTTAGGGACTTGCTCTGGACAGCAGCTAAGGCCCGACATTAAGGCTCTGCCAAAGACACAGCTGAGCCCCTGGGAAGCTCCTGTATCTCCTACCAGCACTCAAGCCCATTTGTTGTATTTTTAGGCTTTTCTAAGATGTCTTAAGTGGCACATGTTACTTTTGAAGATACTAACAGTTTAAAAGGTGTCTGATGTAACTCTACAGACAAGACCTTTCCACTCCTAGGCGTGTTCTGTAACTTTCTGATGCTGACCGGCATGGTCTTACAAGGCCTCTCCAGGCTCTGGCAAGGTAGTAGCTGTCCTCTCTACTTACTGTAGAATAGTCTTTCACTTCCCTGATGGGGGGGTAACACCAACCTTAAATTCCACAGATGGTTGTGTTACATGTTGGGAGGAGTAATAAAGCTGCACACACAATACTCTCAATTTTCTGAAAGAAGCAGGGCTGTGTCTGAAGCCACACGTACTTGAGAAGCCATACCCTGATGCCATACAGCTTAGCGTGTCAGAGAGGCTTCAGTAAGCTAGTTTACGTAGGACTAAACTTCTCTGGTGTTGGAGCTGAACCCCGAATGGGTGTACTCACAGCAGGAGATCTCTTTCCATGAGATAAATGACTGCGTGAACAGTTGAAATGAATGGTAGTGGAAAAAACAAGACTTGCTATCCACGTTTTCTTTAAGCAATGTGTGGCACTTTTTTTGATTAAAGTGTAGCACTTTTCTAGACTGAACTGTTTCTGAGTCTCCTCTGTCACTCTGCGTCTTGTGAATTTTAGTCCCACAGACATAGCTGTGTTGAGACTTTCCTTGAGGCCATGACTAATTGGGCTGTGGGAATAGGAGGATTTAATGTGATACTGCTGATCACATTTTGTTCTGAACAAAATCATTAACTTTTTAGTGAAGTAAGTGTTGTCTTTTAATTTTGAATGTGAAAACGTGTAGACATAATACGGTTTAAGAATTATGTACATAACTTTGAAAACTAATATTCATATCTAAAGAAAGAAAAGGCAACTGCGCTGATTTTGGACCGTAAGTAACCAGGTGGTCCTGTGCTCGCTGACCCTGGATGTGGACTCTGTCCGTGATGCTAGACATATGTGGCATACACACCGTTACGATCGTTAAATGTTTTCTTCTCTTTGCTCTTTGGACAGAACTGTGAACACTAGAGACCTGGAAATAATCTGATTGCACTGCAGTAATCCAGTGTTTTATCAAGTACCGAAGGCCTTGTTTTGAAAAGCTGCTTGTTTACCTTTATCCATCTGCAAGTTTGCAAAAAACAGCAGGGGAGGGATGGCAAACTTCTGGATTTGCACCTTGAAACATTTCAGGGAAACTGTTGTGCTGATGTTCCTTTTCCATTCGTTTAGCTGATTGTTAGAGAACATTTCCTTGTTCAAATGTCACTTGTTTCCCTTTTACAGACTTTACAGTAACCTGTTTGAGTCTTTTTTTTTTTCACGTATCAGTGTCATGTACAGCAGCGCGCCACTGGAGGCTCCCCGGTTAGCTGCTGAACAGATTTATGCATATTCCGAAAATGGCACTTGATGAAATAAAATTCAGTGAAAGCTGAACCCCCTTTGTAATGTTCTAGAAAAACACTGTTAACTTGTTGGTTCATGTGCTATTTAAAAACTTAAAATTTAGTATCTTCGATTTTGAATGGAGAAGAAAAATTAATTCCTGATTTTCTAACGTGAAAATATTGGCAGTTACAAAATGCAGTATTGTTCCATCACTAATATGTTTTAATCTATTGGCAAACATCAAAGCATTTTACAGCATATGCACTAATGTGTTACAAAAATGTTGAGTCCCTAGGTATGTCTGTCACAGTGCAGTTTAATGTCATGCTTTTAAAAATGTTTTCCTTTTGAATTACTTATTTAAGTTTATCTACGCTCATGGAAGTATTATTTTATTGTGTACATAACAGTATTAGACACTGAAGTCATGTTTTGTTCATGTTAATTATTCTAAGTGTTCCTGTTCTAGCTTTATAACAGTGGCTGCAAGCTGCATATCTATTTCCCTTCCCCTAAAGCCTGCATTAAGTAATCTATTTAACCTAAACCTGCCTGCTTTTTACAGCACGGAGAGATTAACTAGGCATCTTCTGAGAATTGCTACTAAAATAATGCAGTCTTGTTCTTCTGTCTCCTGTAACCGATATACTGGATAAGTGATTACTGTAAAGAATAGCTGTCTCAAACCCTGCGGAACCCACTGGCTGAGACTTCAGATGAGTCATCCACCTGGCAGCTGTGTTTGCAGTGGTTAAATGCAAATGGGTTTGCTGGAACTGAACGCGTTGTTTCCTCGACATCGCTGTTGCAGTAGGAAACCCTCAGCCTTCTTACTCGCACTGTTTGCTATTCAGAACACAGTAGAACTGTTTTAGACTTTAGAGCAGTGCCTTAGGTAAAAAGAAAAATGTATTTTTCTATGATAGCTGTTTCATCCTGGCAGAGACAATCATTCTAATGGAAACGGATGCTGATATTTTTTTCTGTGCTGATATTATTTGTTGAATGGTCTGTTACAGCTCTCTGTAAATATGTGCGCACTGTTAAATAAACTTTGCAGTTGAACAATGCTTTATTTCTGTAATGCTAAACATTACCTTACTAGGAGCCTCCGACCCCTTGCTCACCTGCCTCGACATGTCTGCTAGTACTGCTCTAACTGCTCCACGCTGCAGATTCCCAAAGCCGGTAGTCCCTTGGGCAGCTGCGTTGTGGGGGCTGGGAAGGTATTTGTACTAACACCCTCAGCTCTGCTGATGATGTGTTCATAACTATTGAAGTCTTTAGCTTGCTTTTCACTGTAAGCCTTTGCTTTTTACCTGTAGCGCCAGCATCTTGATGTTCTAACAGCGAGTCTGTTACAGTGCTCCGTGGCCACAGCGGAGCAGGGACCATCGAGAATATGGCAAGATGCTGCCTTCTGTTTTTCTTGTGAGGGTTCTTTGTTTCTGGTCAGTGCTTGTGAACAAAAGGGAAGGACTAGAGCAGCACCCAGTTGATAACTATTTCTGTGTGGTATCAACTGCTGCTGTGGAAAAACCCCTAAGCCAGCATTCGGATTGCTGAAGGGCATGAATCTGTGTATGGACAGGGGTTATATGTGTGGTCTCCAGAGGGCTTTTTCACACAGGCGGTTCTTGGCAGATGGTCCAGTGTCAGTTACATATTAAAAAAATTAATTAGTTTATGGAAATTGTTGCTTTGGTCCTCAGATATTTAAGGGCACTATGGCAGAACAGCTGGCTCTTCACTTTGCTAGTATGAACGTATCAGACTTGGTTTCAGCAGCTCAGCCGCAAGAGGTGTCAATCGTGTAAGATGGCAGAATGAAAAAACAATTTTCCAGACTGTAGGACTCCAAGCAGGCACCAGTCTCATTTTTATTAAATCATAAAACATACACTGACGTGATAGGAGAGCTATTGTTGTCTGAGCTATTTTTAAGGCACTTCGAAATGCATGTGCAATTTTTTGTAGTTGAAAAGTTTACTTTTTGTTACTGGATTAATAACTGTATATAGAGAGCCTCCTTTAAATGAGGTAAATGATGTAAAAAAAGCTGATGAGCAAAACTTTTGGGCAAACCATGCAGAAATCAAGACTAAAACAGGTTTATGGAGACAACTAAAGCTAAACCATACTGCCAAAACATTGTTATATGTAAGAGGAAGCCATTCCATACATGTGCTGCACTTTGGTGTGGTAGGGAAGCTGAGGGGTTTATTGCTGTTAGTGGTGTGGTGTCTGTAATGACCTGTACTTGTAAAAGCAGAATAATGGATCTCTCTGATACCGGGTGCAATCTCTGCATCTCTGTTTCTGAGGTGCATGCCTTGTCAAACTCACTTCATTTAAGTGCCAAGCTTAAACCTATACCGGACAAGCTTAAAACCAGCTTTGTTTTAGTTTAAGCCACACGCAGATTATGTAGTATGTGGATCTCTAATACTGAATCTAACGGCATTTTGAGCCTTTACACTAAGAGTTACTTGGAAGCAAAGTTAGATTTTTGCAACGCTACATGCTTTTGTACTGCAGGAGCTTCAAAAGTCAAACCCAGTATATTGAGGCTACTTTAGTTTTTATACTAAAATGGAAAAAGTTAGAATTATTAACATGCAAAAACCTGCTTCTTTACCAGGATTGTTTTGGAAAGCAGGGCTCTAAAATCCATTTCACAGCACTTGCTGTCTGCTCCTTACAGTCGTTTGGGACAATCAGCACAGTAAATTTTTCCATTATGGCAAACAAAGCGCTTGTTGGCCAGACCACGGGCACACTTTGTGCATTTGAAACAATAATCGTGCCAGGACTCATCTTCGTAGTTAACCACACTGGTTCCTCTTCCAAATCCTGCTAGGAGAGAAAACAATTATAGGACGGCGATAGTAGCTTTTCCCTTGGCCGGGATAGCCCCACCAACCAGCAGATCCCATTCTTGCTGCCTCCTGTGCTTCTGCAGTCGTGCAGACCTTATTCGTACGCCTAAAATACTAGCCAGAACTGCAATGGAGAGCCACGTTGTTTGCTGCTCAGTGTTACTGCTCTTAGAGAAACAGGCAGCTTAGCATAAGGCTTACATAGCTTGTCTCTGCAACAAGCTTTTTCCCTTGGGTCCTTTCTCCAGGAAGCATCAAGCAAAAGGAAAGGTGTAGACCAAGGACAGATTGGACTAAACACCCTGCCTCGTTGTTGTGGGCTCAGGTCCATGCTCCGAAGTGCCGAATGGAACGCAAGGCTCATGGGGCGGGCAGGATAGTGCCCACATTTCAGGGCTGAGCTTTGTGATCCAGAAACTGACGTGGAAAATACATCACAAGTCAAGCAAATGTCACTTTGGGGCAATACAACATTGCTCCTTTTAAGATTCCCAGACTAAGATACAGTTGGGAACAGTTCTAACTGGGGAAGTTTTGAAGGGGGTGAATTTGAGGTGTGCGAAGGGTGAAGAGCCGAGTTGCTAACCTGGATGCCATCCAGCAAGAGCACATGGCTCGGAGTTAGATCACATGTAGATTGCTGGGATTGGGCTTGGGGTACCAGACCTGCTTCTGGCATTGGCCGCCTCCGAGCTGCACGTCTTTGGGGATCGCTGTTCCGACCCTAAGCACCCACTGCCCTCAAGGTGCAGTGAATCCAGCTTACCTGTAATAGGATTCTTGCAGCCAGCGCACTTCTTGGCAACGCACTCCTTGTAGCAGTCAACGCAGTAAAACTGATCCTCTACAGCTGTGAAGCGCTTCCCACCCAGTTGCTTCTTGCAGTTGGAGCAAATGAAACACTCTGAATGCCAAGGCTGCTCCTGGTAAGTGAGGCCTCCAGAAGTGATGGGCTGGAAGGCAAAGGGCAGAGACGTGATTCAGAACCAGTAGGGAGGAAACAAGGCGATGCAGGGGTGGGGTGTGGGGCAGGAGGGCTTTGTCAGGGAGAAGAGCGCTTGAAAGTTTTCATTAAAATTAAACAGTGCAGCGCACTTGAGTGCCTCCAGCCTGAAATCCTGCATGCCTGGAGCTTTCATGATAGTTTCTTTTACCTGCAGTGACTCTGCAATTCTACACTAAGCAGTTGCAAAAGTTGTAAACCAGCTATCTTATCAAATGCTGTTTTACTGCTTGAATACACAATGCCTGCTAGAGAGCTTACACCACCCCCAAAGCAAGTGCCAGGCCAGTGCCCGCTTGGTCTCGGCAGAGTTGCCATTGGATAACCCTGCAACCCTTGCTCGGCTGCTGTAACGTGCAAGAACCATTGGCTCTCACATGATCATGCCACCAGCTGCTTGCACCCGCAGCTCAAGGGAAGAACATAAGCACTGGTACAGCTCCAGCGTGATCTGTCTGCTGGTTTACTCCCCTAGCTTCCAAAGGACGTGTGAGGGCTGGTTCTGGCAGCTGCCTTTGCAAAGTGGAAGGACTTACGTTCTTGCATTTAGCACAGGTCTTGGCAAACTTATGCTCATGGCAGGAGACACAGTAGAAGTCATCACCCTTGGGGAAGAAGCTCCCAGATCCAATCACTGTCTTGCACTGGCTGCAAGTGAAACAGTCCTTATGCCAGACCATCTTCTTGTACTCAACATTTTGGTCTCCTACAACAGACAGAAATAACTTGTTATGTGGGATTTCAGGCTGGTGACAAACTGCCCACCCTGTGCAGTGTAACACACCTGTAGGCAAGACCTGTCCATACCTATGCCCAGGATTCAACTATAATATGGGTGAGGGGTGAGCTGTCAACTTCTGTATCTGACTTCAGCCAGGGCCTTCTAGATTTTCTTAAAATATTTGTCAGACAGGTGCCTGAGCCTTTCTGAGAAGAGGACCTTGATGTACAGAGCAAAGCTTTTGGTAGAAATGGGTTAAGACTAACTGCTAGGGTGAGGGTTAACTGCAAAGCAGCCTTTCACCACTTGAATAAAATGGACAGGCGAGAGCAACAGTCAGAACTTGCACCATTTTGTGGTGCTCCAGCTGTGATGTCCATGCACCTAACCGCAGCCTCCCCGCCTTGAGAAGCCACCATGGTTTTACCCTAGAGCAGACCTCGGCAGTCATCACTGGGTCGCTGGCACCAGTACCTGCGATTATAGGCTTGAAGCAGCCCTTACACCTGGGCGCGTCCTCCGTGGCAGTGCAGTTGCTACACCAGACCTTGTTGTTCTCCCTCAGCATGAAGGGCTCGTTGACCAAAGACGTGTAGCACTTGAAGCAGCGGAAGCAGCTGTCATGCCAGTAACGGTTCTTGAAATGCAGCTCCTGGAATGAACAGAAATGGAGTGAGCAGTAAGCCCTTCTCACTTGCTGAGCAGCCCTGAAACCAAGCCACAGCCTCGTCAGCCTTAGCAGTAATGGATAGATTCGTTAGTTCCTAAGCATGTCTGCACTTGGTGGTTGGAGGTGCAGCTCATCTGCAAGCAGTTAAGGGAAGGACTTAACCAAACTCCCTGACACAATCACATTCACTTTGGACTTCCAGGGTAGCAGAAGATGCTTCAAACCGACAGCTTTGAGATCTGAAGTCCTGTAAGCATAGGCTTCTCCATTTGGTTCCCCCTAGTTCAGGTGTACATTATTATTGCCGTAAAGCAATAAACATTTGGCAATCTGACACAAATCAGACCCTAGTGCTGAGTGCTTTTCCCAGAAGATGAGTTTTCTGCAAGTTGCTTGAAGGCTGGGGTAGCTGCAGTACTCTCCTCGGGGCAATTCAGCCTTTGCAGCAGTTCATGGGGCTGAATCTGGATCCTGAAATTAGCTCCTGTGCAAAAGCAGCCCATCGTGAGCATCCCTACCGCAGTGCCCCGGAGCCTCTGGCTCTTTGCGCCAGGAGCACGTGGCCCATGGGCCAGAGGACTCACAAGAAGCTTACACACGGAGCAGAGCCAGGAGAGCAAATGGGCAGGTTATCAGCTTCTGCCTGTCTCCCCGTCACCCATCTGACAGCTCAGCACTCACCTTGGAGTCCGCTCCAATGGGTTTCTTGCACTCAATGCAGGTGTTGGCACAGATCTTCTCGAAGCACTTGACGCAGCAGTGGCGGCCCTCTTTCTGCACGTACTTCTTCCCGTGCAGGGGGTCACGGCAGTAGTGGCAGTCAAAGCGCTCCGACATGGTGCCCACGGTGTAACTGCCAGGCCCTGCAAGAGGAAAGAGGGTGAAGCTGGAGCACTGAGGCTGTGATAACTGCTTCGGCTTCTTGGGTCTGTGCAAATGAGAAGTATCAAGGAGATGGCTCAGCAATGAGCGTGTGGTGGTGTCACGCTCCTGGAGGGCTGGATGGTGAGAAAGCAGCTTCGGTGCCAGCACTGCTAACGGCAGTTTTTCTGTTGGGCAGCTCAGTGGTTTATAAAACGCGACAGCTCTCTGCCAGCCGCACTGGCGTTTTCCAGGTGCCTCCAGCTTTGTCCCCGGGGTCCAGGTTAGGCTAACGAACCATCACGCCCAGGGAGGCTGGGTGCAGTAGACAACCTAGGTTTGGTTACAGCAATCGCAAACTCATACATCTGCTAAAGGAGGCAGCTTGGACGTCCCCTCCGAGGTCACAAATCGCCGTTTAGGATGCAGAGAGAGAAATAACCACGAAAAATGCAGGCCAGGCAGTAAGCCTGTGTGGGCCGACTCCTGGCTGCGCGCTGGAGCTCACCAAGGCCAGGGGCCACCTGGTCTCCTGGAAGCACTCTGCTTGCCCCTACAGCGAGCGTAAGCAATGCATTAGTAACACAAGTATTTTCAGTTCCCTTAACAGCCATGAAGATGCGAATGCTAGCTGTCTGCCGACAGAGGCGGGGTGGGCTCTGGCCAGGCGCAGAAACGCAGCGCTCTGCCTTGGGGGTCCCATCGGCCGCAAGCACAGCTCTGGGCGGGAGAGCAGAGCCCCACACCAGCCTTGCCCCATCACCTTCTGAAGAGGAAGGATACCAGGCTGTTTTATTTATGCATTTCGCGTCAAGCAAGGATAATGATGCCTAATCACTCACTGAGCGCGTTACGGCCCGCTGCAGGCCTCGGCGAGGTCCTGGCCGAGGCGCCGCATAATTTGTGTGCGGAAATCGCCGCCAGCCGTGAGCAGAGCAGAATAGTTTCCATGTTTCCAGCCTAAGCCTGCAGCCAGCTGCAGCCCTCCCAGGCCGTGCTGGATAGTTGTGCAGCTTCCAGCTGCCTCTTTTCACCGGGCTTTCACATACAAAGTCATAAGGAAAAAAAACAAGAAAAGATCTCCCTGCATGTAAAAATACTTCTTCAGCTGGTGCTGGCAGGGCTCCACCAAGGCATGATGTTCCACCATGGCCAGGAAGCCAGCACGCTGGTGGGAGCGGGGGCTCTTGACCAGAGGATTTTCCACTTTGGCCGGAGGTGCAGGCTTACGCTGTCTCCCCAGGCACCCACCCCAGCCTGCACGCCCTGTCTCAGCCTCCCAGACCGCTGCTGCCAACAGCTCCCTCCATTTCCCTACGCCCTTCCTCAGAGGAAGCCACACACCCCTGCGAGGGCTGCGAAAGCGCCGGCGGGGTTACACGAGCCCGTGCACTCCCCGGCACGCAGCTCCATCCCTGCCCCCGCGGCCCCCCGCGCTGCAGTGCCCCGCTTCCCTGCACGGCCAACGACCTTTAGAAACTGGACCAGGGCTTGGGGTTCTTGGGGTGCAGAGAGGGTACGCCATTCCCGCTGTACCCTCGCGGCAAGGGAGGGTCAGTGGGAGCCCGTCGGTCTCGCCCGTGGCTGCGGGATCCTGCGCAGGCAGGACTGCTGTGTTGTTACGGCACGAGGACCTGTTTACACAGCTTTTTCTTGGACACCTGCCCACCCCGGTAATTCTAGAGTCACCGTCAACTGCGTGGCCAAAGCTGTCAGCGCAAGAAACCCCCACACTGGCACGGGAGCCCACGAGGCCGAGGGATCGCTGCGCTGCGAGGAGCGGGGCTTTGCGGCAGAGGCACAAGCACCAGCACACATCGCACGACACGAGGACCTGTTTACACAGCTTTTTCTTGGACACCTGCCCACCCCGGTAATTCTAGAGTCACCGTCAACTGCGTGGCCAAAGCTGTCAGCGCAAGAAACCCCCACACTGGCACGGGAGCCCACGAGGCCGAGGGATCGCTGCGCTGCGAGGAGCGGGGCTTTGCGGCAGAGGCACAAGCACCAGCACACATCGCACGAGCGCGCCTCAGAATCACAGAATGGTCAGGGTTGGAAGGGACCTCTGTGGTCACGTGGTCCAACCCCCCCGCCGAAGCAGGGTAACCTACAGCAGGCTGCACAGGACCTTGTCCAGGCGGGTCTTGAATATCTCCAGAGAAGGAGACAACCCTGCAAACCCCACAGGTCCTGACCAGGGCATAGCCCTGCCTGGCAAGCCCAGGCAGCGCGGCAAGACATGAGGGTGGCTACTGCCTTCACCATCTCCTTCGAGACCCAATTTTTGGTATTTTTTGGGTGACACGCTGTTGGCAGCACACTGCGAGCAGCCGTGATGCAGCCAGGTGCAAAGCTCAGGGAGGTGCCTGCCTGCAAACAAACACTTTGCCATTGTTTCAGAGCTCTTCTGCCTTGTGTCCAGGTTCAGAAAGCTGCTGGACGGGCAGTGGAAGATGCTGGGGCAGGAGACGGGACTCGCGCTGTTACTTTGCAGATTTTCAAACCCAAGAGTCATCTCACCGTCTCTTCTTTGCCATCTTTTTGATAAAGTCAAGCCAGAATGAGTTGGAGCATCTCCTGGAGAGGAGCACCGCACAGGGCGACTGCAGCAGAGGTGGGGAACAGGTTCACACCCTTCTCCTAAATCCTACAGAAGCAGGCTGGAGGCCGAGCTGGCAGGAATTGCGCTCTACGGAGACCGAGGTCTGGAAACGCCGCCTCGACAAGGTCAGGAGACGGCCACGTCCTGCTGACAGCTACGCCAAGGGTTGTGTTTGTACCGGTTCAAGTAAATGAAACAAATAAACAGCTGGGAAACGCGGAAACTATGCGAGCCACCGCCAGCTCTGCAGAGCTTTATCAAGCAAGTGGGTTTTATTTAGAAGAAATGCAAGTGCACAGAGTCCAGGGAAAATGCTATTGAAACCTTCCTGATCTCGGGTTTAGGGTTGGTTTCAACCAGAAAGCGTAATTATGAACATATGGCTCGGGGAGTAACATCATCCTGCGCTCCCATGTAATGCGTCGTGCTCTAACACGAGGCACATGTATCACAGCAACTTCGGAGCTCCACCGACTAATTAACACTGAGCCTGGCAGCCCCAGGAGCTGGGCTGTACATGCAGACAGGCCAGCTTCTGTCCACCTCGTGCCACCTCATGGACCAAAAAGCCCCTCTCATACATAGGTTGGGGCACGAATTTGCTTCCGGTTTTTCCCGGAGCGTTCTGCCCTCAGCAGCGTCATTCCTGACCTGGACCCAGGAAAGGCACCCCTGTCCCCTTGCCTGCAGCGAAGAGGCACTGACCATGTTGCCCCAGCAGATGTGCTGGCTGCTCGTGGTCTCTGCGCACCCGCGCCATTCCAAGAGCCCACGTCAGCCAGACCATCTCCCACAGCCGCCCTACGGGAGCAGCCCACCACGAGAGCCCTGAAAGCCTGTGGCTTGTAGGGGCTGTGCTGGGGCCACTAGATCATTTTCCCAGTGTGGAGCAAACGTCCGTGGAGACTTCAGAACTCTGCTGCCCTGGGGAAGAAGCATTTGGTATCCTACTGCTGCTCCCCTGAGCAGTCCTGTCCTCTCTCACTGAAGGCAGACAGAACATCTATTTGTTGTGCTCGGTAAAAAAATAAATACATCTTCTAAAGCTAGGTTGGCAGCAGACCATTATCTCCCTAATAACCTGTTCACCCTTCAGCTACACCACGTCCCCATACCTTACCTTTCTAGAGCTTCCAGGGATATTAACCCTGGCCTGTCTTTGCTATCCAGAAAACAGCCAAGTCAGGAAACTAAGGATACATTGGGTGAATGGAAAAACCATGACTCCTTCTTGCTCTTCCTTAGGGCCTGTATTTTAGTGCACACTGCATAGCTTCCCTGCGCAAGCCTTGCAGCAGCTGCTGGGCACGCAGTAAGGATCCACAGCAGTGGTACAACCGTGCTACAGCAACGCATGAGGAGTGCTCAGGTGCTCAAGGTAACCACTGAAACCGTAAGCGCTGTACCGTTGTGCTGCTTTTCACAGTGGTGTGCTTAAAACGACAACGGTACACGCAGCTGGTTTAGCTTGGAAGTTACCTGAACACAGTTTCCTTGGCTGTGCCTTTACACCAGACTACCGTGTCTCTGAGCTGACAGCCTGGTCAAAGGTCTCCTGCTTAACCCCAGGAGAATCACGTACCCTGAGGACACACACTGATCCAAACCCCATTTCAGCTTGACTCTGGGGCCACAGAAAACAGAGGACATGTATAGACAGACTGGCACTATTCTCCAGCCCAGGCTGACATCCACATGCAGAGGACGTTCTGCTGGGGAGAAGCAGGTGAGAAGAGAGAGCACAGGCTGCTGGGGAGAGGGGTAAGTGCAGTATGTGCCCATCCTTACATAGCCTAGAGGACCCTCAATAAAAATAAGAGCTCATGAAAAAAATCCAGCAATACTTCCAGAAACTACTCCCCCTTTAAGCAAGGTGTCCCTCTCCCACCCCTGCCCTGGCAGGGTGCTGTCTAAATGCAGCTCCCTGATGGATTTGGCTACAGCTTGAGGGCAGCTGGCCAGACCAGTGGCCTTCTCGAGTAGCAGGGTATTTGGCACGAAGACCCACTGGAATTCAACCCTAACATTTACCTGACCACAGAGGTGCCAGTTAGACACTTGTCCCCAGAAAGCATCTGCTGCTTTTCAAAAAGCTACAGCTCCTCAGTCCTTGGACAACCATGCCTTCCATCTTCCAAAGATCTCAAGTGTTTGAGCACTGCCAGCTTCCACGCACCTCAAGTCATACTGTCACCATGCTGCGGAGCAGTCACAAAGCTGTCCCAGCCAGTGGTCGGGGTCAGGGCGATGTCTGCACCCTGCAGCACGGCAAGCTTTGGGAGGGAAAGGGTACAGACCTAAGAAGTGCCACCCCACAAAAGCTATTGCATTAACACAACCCCGTGCCTCTTCCCTCATCCCTGCCTCCTGTCGTCCCTGGGCTGGTTCCTCCCAGTTCAGTCCGCTGTGTACCAAAGCCGTCTGCAAAACGGCTGAAACCGAAGCACTCTGCAAAGGGAGCTGAAGCGCAGCTGATAAGCAAAGCACTTAGCACAGGATATGTGTTAATGTCTCTGGGGAAGATGTTTAAATGTGATAAACCACCAAGGAAGAACTTGAAGTGTGGTCTCTAAACACAACCAGCGAAACTACTTAAACCTTGCAGGCTGTTCTGCCGCTTAAGAAAGATGATGAGGCTGAAGGCATTAACCCTCTGCCCTACACACAGCTGAATACTCTATGGCAACATGGAAGGAAAAGAGCAATTGGTTTCTGACTCTCCGTCAGCTTTATTTTTCTCAGCAGACTGAGTACACGCAGCCCCCATAGTGCCAGGCAATGCCTGTTTCAGCTCAGGAGGTGGCATCTCCTGGTCTGTCACCTGAGTTACTATTCTCAGCATTCCTCTGTGCAATGTCGCATGGTTTGCTATAAATACCAGGGAAGACCCTGAAACGAAGGGTCCTGTTAGTTCGAAATGCAAAGCAATGCTCAGGACTGCACCTCAAGGTCACTGGCACACTGCCCTGGACAGCAAGGAAAGAAGATGATCACCTGCAGGTCGTTTTTACTGGGAGAGCTGGCAGTAACGGGTGGAGAGCTGTGCTATCCCATTGCCAGGCTGGGGCACGTGCGAGTCTCACACTTTATAATTCAAAAATTAGTCTGTTGATAAAATGGAAGCTTCTTTATTTAGAACAAGAACGGCTCCAAGTTCCTCAGGCAGTTGCCAAAAGCATTCCTTGAGGTCCTATTGCCACCATGTCTGAGCACATCCTGATCATTATTCAATCTTCACAGTTCCCCAGAGACGTAGGGATGTGCTATTAAAAAACACACTGCTCCAGCTCTGAAAACACTTTCCCCAGGGCTTGCTTTTGTGCTTAAGACAGAGCTCAGCTAAGGCTAACGAGGCTCCCAGCGTGCAGAGCACCACTGCCTAGAGTACAGCTGAGCACTTAGGCAGAGCTTAAGCGGTGAAGTCCAAACCTTTCAAAACTAACCCAGCCAGCTAAAGCAAGAGGGTCCTGTTCAGTAGCTAGCTCACTCTGCGGCTGCCTTAGGCTTTGACCTTTGAGACTCCTCAATTTGTTCCCAGCTACGCACGGATCCGCCCCCAGCTCGGTAGCTGGATGCCCTTCTCGTGCCCAGGTGCCCCCAAAAGAGAGGCTTTCTCCTGCTGCAGGGAATTCCTCCCCCCCCCGGTTCAGGAGTGGATGCTGCACTCTAACTTGTGGATGGCAGAACTCCAGCCACAGCATCTGCTCAGAAGACGCTTCAGCATTTTCTGTTACAGCACCACATCAAATCTGTGGGTCCTTGCCCCAGGGAACGCCTCCCTGAGGAAAAGGAGAAAGAAAAAGGTACAGCTGAGAGTATCATGAAAGGATGCTACAGCATCGGTCAGTCTCGTGGCCTGAAGTTAAAAAATAAATGTCTTTTTACATTTTAGTTGAAGGGATTGCTCTTTTTAACACCTTTGTGGTATTTAAAAATTATACCACAGAAGTCAGATTTCACTCAGAAAATGTCTGTCTACATCACAGAAGCAAACCCTGAGTAGTTACGTGCCATGCCAGAAGCCTCGTGGTTTTGCCGGGTGCTGGGAGGCCGAGCGCGAAGTCGCACGGCGTGCTGCCACTTCCCTCCTGGTTTTCAAGCTGCTCTGTGCCCCCAGCCAAGTCTCGTGAGTGCCACTCTCCCCTGGCTCCCGGTGCGCGGCAGCTCAGTTGGATGCTCACAGGACCTGCACCCCAAACGTGGCATCCTCTCCCCCTGCATGTCCACCCCTTGGGCTGCTTCTCACCAAGGGGTGCCATGGCACTGCCGTGGTACGTTGTGGTGTCGGGCTGTGAACACAGGCTGGGCACACACACAAGCACGGTTAGCTTCTAAGAATCGGATAAGCTCTTAAAAACCCCCAAGAGCTTTCAATTGTCGGGAATCGGAGGGCTAGAGGAGTTTATGCACAGATGGGAAGACACAGCACATCTGCATTCCGTGGGGGACATGCAAAACATGCTCTCGAGATTCCTGTCAGCGCTAATGGGGAGGAAAAGCTAATCTGATGAGGGTCGACCCGTCTGATCTACAAGACAAACACAGAGAAGAGGGAATAACCACAAACGTCCCACCAGAGCAGAGCAAACCATCTGGGTTTACACACTGAGCTCTGCACGCTCCCCTCTGCTCACTGCAGAAACCGCCATAGCAAGCTCGCTGCAAGGAGAAGCGTCGTCCCCCATTTTCACTTAGTCTTCCTCAGATAACAGCTGAGCCCCAGCCTTCCCACAGCAGCAGATACAGAAGCACTTACCAGCCAATGCATTTTGCAAAACAGATGAGGCCGCCACCACCGCCGCCAGTCCCCCACACTGGTTATAAGCCCATTTGCCATCATTAGGTACCGCTGCAGGCGGCTGAGGCTGAAGGCTGCATTCAAAAGAGTTCTTTTGCTGGTGCAGGAGCCTGTTAGCAAAACCTCCCTCCCCATTTACCAGCCATCACACGCACAGGGCTTCTCCCACAACACCCGGCAGCACGTCCACTTTACCTGTGTGCCTGTGGAAAGCCATGATTAGAAGCCCGAAGTCACTGGCAGCCCCTTAGGTTCACAGTCTCTTGGCCGATTAGGAGCTGCCCCGTTTGATAACATACATTTAAACGGAGGCTATTAATATGGACGGGACTCCTACCAGATGTCCACTCCCCTCCCCAGAGATCACAACCTTAATCCCCCTTGAAAATTCTTACCATTTTAGGTGATCCAAGGGAGAAGAATGGGATCCGGAGACCTCTAGGTCTCTGTCGGCAACATGTAAATACCTGCCCGGCTACTCAGCACCCAAATTAGTCCCAAAGGCAGAGTGTGCCTCAGGAACTTGACCCCATGCTAGTACTATTTGGCCTTGGCTTTAGAGATAGTTTGTGTCTCATAACAGTCCTGAGCTAAATTACAGACCTGACGTTAATTCCGCACTGCCGTTGCTGAAGGGAAGAGGTGGATCACAGCCCCATGAGGGCCAGAGGGGCCATGGTCCCAGGAACCAGCAAGGGGCTGTCCCTGTGCTGTAGGGCCCAGAAAGGACAGGAGTTGTACCCCTGGAGACCCAGCTGACAGTCCACAGAAGTACCAGAAGATACGTTTATGGGTGGGTTAGACTTATCTTCAACATGAGGGTCACACTGAAGTTTTACTGACAATAAAACTCCTGTACCTGGTCCTCCTCCAATTTTTGCCCTAAGGAAGCTCAAAGCATGAACTGTTCAAAGCGAGCAAGTCCCTGAACAGCAGCACTTAGAAAGCCAGGTTTCATGATTACGGGGCTTCTCCAGCATCTGACGGTATGGCTGGGCTCATTCCCCAGCACGTGGCTTACGGAGAGCACCAGCTCATGTCTCCGTCCTCTTTACTCGGGTGTCCACGAAGCTCGCCAGAAGACCTGAGCGCGGTGGCTCCGACCGACCTATTCCCACCCGAGTCACAGCCGGGAGCGGAGGGAGCTCTGGTGCACGGCTTGCTCCGGGTTATGCAATAGGCAGCGGCGCTCACTCAGGGCCTGGGGCCAGGGACACCCGGCTGCTAATCCTGCCCTGACACTGACTCACTGCATGGCCGTGGGAACAGCAGCTAACCTCCCTGACAGCCACTGGGAAGAGCCAATGTTTATCATTCCTCCCAGGGAGCCCATCGCGGTGGTGTCTGGCCTCCCAACAACAATCAGCATCTCCAGCCGAGTGGCCCTGCTACAGCCTGGGACCGGGAACATCTCTGCTTCCCACTTGCAGAGGTCCCAAGAGCTCCCTGACCACATGCACGTGGCAGGGCGCGCACAGCCTCCAGCCCCAGCACCGGGCTCGGTGACCCTCTGGGCCTGTACACCCATCTTAGGGCTCCCAGGTAGCACAGGTGCAAGGTAAGCATCTCAACAGCATCCCAACATCTCCAAGTTTCCAAGATGGGCTGGAACACCATGCGTGACAGCATGCTGTCCCGAAAGACCACAGCATGGATCCACTCATGTAGCAGATTGAGGCTGGGAAACACGCTAAAATATTAGCACACTGAAACACTTTGGCTAGGAGAAACCTAACGTTATCCTGCCCCAGCTCATCTATTAAACTCAAGCAAATTGTGTGCATAATTCAGATGGTAACAGGAACCCTAACAACTGGTATTTTCCTGCGCTAATCTTGCTGTGTGCAGTGTAGTATTTACAGACACGAGTTCATTTTTGGCAACGCACGCAGGGTTTGCACCGTTAACCATTCTCATTCCTTTCCAGTTCCCTACACCAAGCGCTGGCACCCTCCCACCCGCCCGTCA